GAGAGAGAGAGAGAGAGAGAGAGAGAGAGAGAGAGAGAGAGAGAGAAGAAAATATAGTAGATGTGCCCTCTAACTTGTACGAGGGTTTCCGTCTCCACCATGGCCGTCAGCTGGGCCCAGGATTCTTCTATGTGCGATTCAGCTGTACCCGAAGAAACAAAATCTGTAGATGCAGACTTCTACGAGGGTTGTGTGTGGCCCACAAGGATTGTTTGTCTCACTTTAAGGTTTAAAAAAAAAAACACTCATGGAGCGTAATTGGACAGGTTAAGGAACAAATGCTTGAGTGATGGAGTCATGGATATGGTCTCTTCTCATTGTTCTCAAGAATCTCAACTCTTTTTTCCAAAAATAAATTTGACCGATAGCTATTCACTGTAGCAGAGGTCAAGAAAAGAGGGAACTGGAATTGGGTGAATCAAGAATGTGAGGGACGCTGGACCCAATTTCCAGATTTGGCAAAAAAAAAACAAAAAAAAAGTGTTGTCACAACTTGTCAGTACTCTTGGATCTATACCATGGACTGGGAACTCAGCGCGAAAGAAGAAACCTGGGCCCAGCTGACGGCCATGGTGGAGACGGAAAAAAAATTCCGCTCCAGATGGTTCTCGGTCAAACGGGCCGTTGAAAGGAGACCAGACCAGGGCTGGGCTGGGAACCGGCCGGTTCAGTTTGCCCGGTTCAACCGGGCCGGACCGCCCCAGGGGGCGTGAACCGGGAAAAACCGGTTTCAAGTTTTCAACAAAAAAATGCCCACGGTCAAACGGGCCGCTAAAAGGAGACCAAAGTCACCAGCCAAGTTTCTAGACACCAGAAGAACATTCCACTCAGACGCTGGCTCCTGCGAGGAAAGATTGCTACTATCGAAGAGAACGTACTCAGGTGGAAGAAGTGGGATCGGAGCTGAACAACAAGGGCATCATTCTTCCAGTCGAGCGAGAGTTCTCAAGAATCATTGAAGAATGACAATAATCAAAGCCAGGTACAATCAAAGCCAGCTATGATAAGGGCCCACAACGATGCATATTCAGGGGTCACAACAAGAGCTCTCAATTCCATCAAATGCTGGCTTTCCCATCAGCTCTCTTTCTTCAGCGATCGTGGTTTACTCGCCTTTCTGTCTGACAGAGGCACAGCTCACATGCATCTAACAGAAACACCCCTGAAGAGAGAGGCAGGCCGATAGTCAACCCCTCTGTCAAACCACCACTACCTTTCCCACTGTTGGGAAAATGGGAAAATACTAAAAATAGCCTCCTACTCCTTAAAAATCGGGGGCTGGGCCCGACGACGGCCGCCGTTGACAAATCTCATTCGGCGGCCGTCGTTTCGTTTCGTTTCGCCCTCCTAAAAGATCGGAGGCCACCCGCAGCCGACATGGGCGAAGGTAGTGGTGCTTTAAAGTTTAAACCACCCGTGCATCCAGAAAAAGCAGATTGAGCCTCTCCTAAATAATGGGAGGATAGGACCCGGCGATTCATTTTATCAACGGTCCATGGCCTTCAAATTTTTAGGAGAGGTTCAATGTGCTTTTTTTCGGAGGTACTGGTGGTTTTAAAGGAGCGCGGATACACCGAGTGGGATTGAAGTACGAAGGTCGGTACTTGCTGGTGGAAAGGAACCGGACTGACAATCCCCAGAAAAAATCTGGCGGTCGTCGGACATCTCGGAATTGACGATTAACCCATTCCACACAGAAACTAGGGGGTGGGATTTGGGAAGAAGGGGTTATGAGAATGGCAAGCTGACATTTTCATTCTCATTAACACAGAGAATAAGGGGGGTTGGGATTTGGGAAGAAGGGGTTATGAAGGATGGCAAGCTGACTGATAGCAGGCTCAGAAAATAAGGAAGCGCTTCGAACAAAGAATTCCGGGCCAGTGGGAAAAAAAAAAAAAACCCTTACCTGAACCCAGCCCCATGTCTAAGGTCAGGTGGGCTAGGGTTTAGCGTTTGAGTAGCAGTAGGCTCTGCTTTTTAAGAAAAAGGAAGGATCTAGGTCTGGGTGTCTCAAAAAAGGAGGTCAAGGGAAGACCTAATTAAAAGGTAGCGCCTTTTTTTAGCAGGCATGAACATCAATGTTGCTTCGTTGGCAGCAAGGCTCATTTCTCCCGGTGAGGGTAGGTGAAATCAGACTCGTCCTCTTCTCACTTCGCATGCATGCAGACAGATAGCAAATCACACTGGCGCTGGGCGCCCGCACGATTCAGATACAAACTTGCTTCAGATTGGCTATGGCGACTGAGCGCCTTCACTTCACACATCAACTCAGTGTTTACATCAACTGTTTACACACACTTAACTCCAGATCTCCCTGGATATCCCACACGCACTCACTCAGTACCTCACACACACTCCCTTACTCACTGAATCACTAACCCTGACCTATGGCGGCTATGGCCGCTCACTACTACCGACTATGGACACTCTATCTTCTTCCTCAGCCCACTTCGATTCCGGGCATCTGCAGACCACCTCGCACAAGACACCTAGGCAGCGCTTCCGCATGGCTCACACAGCAATGAATGAATGGCTGGATGCTGCCTCTTGATTTATACCTCTGTTGGCTGCTGGTCTGCTCCTTTCCACCGGGCCCATGGTGCACACAGTCCCACATGGTACTTGCTGATCGGACTAAGTGAGACTGGGACTGGGTACCGCTGACTAAGCAAGGTTGGACTCACCACTTGCCCACTTGCCTCTGGTCTGCTGTGAGCAACGTCCGAAAGGCCACTTCCGGACCATCCGGAAGCCTACGGACTTGGCCTGTCGGAACTGTAGCAGCTACGACCTTGACCTTTCAGGACTGTAGCAGCTACGACCTTGACCTTTCAGAATTGCTACAGCTACGGCCGCCACGCAACTATGACTCCTACTTGACAGACCTACGGTTCAAGACCCGACAGCTACATCGACCTATGACAGACAACATCTGACTCCTAAAACGCAGGTCACGGCTTCAAACACACAGGGGTACTGTACACGGGTGAGGTGAGGTCTAGGGATCGAGCCCTGGGATCTGCATCTGCTGCTGCAAAGGTGAAAACCGTTTCAGTAGGCAGCTAAGTACCCGAGAGGTCGAGCCCCAGAGAAAACAGAAGCGAAGCTGGGTAATGCTCCCAGTACTCTTACAAAATATGTTGTATCAGGGACGCTGGACCCGGTTTCTCCACAAGATACCAAATTTGGCTCACAGCAACCTTGAACCAAAACAAAAACAGGCAAAAAATAATAATAATAAACAATAAAAATTGACCCTCAAACCCTAAATTTCAGTTTTAGACCCGTTGGTCAAAAGCTGAAAGTGAAAGTCGGGGTCCCCGTTAACCACTTGTGCATGCAGGTGGAGAGCTGCTCCCCATCAATGGAACGGAGAATAATTGCGGCGCACCAGTGTGCAGTACGGTGCGGGGCCGTACGCACTGCGCTGTGCGCTGGAATGACACCGCGTGCACTGTGCGCCTGTGCTGTGCGGTCCGCTGTGCACGGTGCACGCGCTGAGGGAGGTGCGCCCTGTGCACGAAAAAAAAAAAAAAAAAAAAAAA